AGGGGAAAAAATAGAGTAGTAGAGGAGGGGAAAAAACATTCAGTGTGTTTGGTTTGAATTTTTTGAATTAAGTTTTTTGAAAATTGAATTTTTTGGTTTTCGTGTTTTTTTTTTTTTTGTTTTTAGTGAATATTTTTAAAATTTTAAACATTTTTTAAATTTTTTTAGATGCACCTTACTTAAATGTATCTAAAAAGTAAAAAATTTGTGAAAAAGTATTTTTTAAAATTAATAAATACATAAAAATATAAAAAATGTACTGAATTCTCGTATTTTTTTTTTGTATTTTTGGTATTTAGTGAATTTTTAAAAGGCAAATATTATATTTTTTTAAGTATATTTATGTTAGGTGTATTTATAAATTAAAAAAATTTCTTAAAATATTAAAAAAAAATCCAGTAAAAATAATAAAAAAATGAAAAATAAAAATTTTATTTTTTTGAAAAGTAAATCAACTTTTCAAAAAATACTACTCATTTGGTTGGTTAAGTTGGAAGGTTAAAATATTAAAGTAATATAAAAAATAAATTAAATTAAAAAATTAATAAAATTAAATATCACATTTAAATTATTATTATTATTTTCATAAAACTTCAAAAATTAAAAAAATCTAACCTAAATAATTTTTTTTAACCCATACGAATAGTAAAAAAAATTAAAGAGCCAACACATTTATCAAACAAAAGCCATACTAAAGTTTTGTTTGATTTTAGATTTTTGATTAAGAAAGTATAAAAAGGTAAAATTAACTACATAAACTAATGACATAAAATATTACATTTAAATTATAATTATTATATTTTTTCTCTTATAAAAATTAAAAAATTAAAAAAATCAAGCCAAACGAAACTAAAAAAACCAAACTGGAAAAGTCCGAATATAAAAAAAATAAGCTAAAAACGTTAGTGCGAAACGAAGGCTAATATAATTATTATATTTTAACAATTCTTTTTTTCAGCAGTGTCATATTTACGAAAAAAAATTTCACAAATCTCTTGAATCACGTGATAAAATTGACTAAAAGATTTTAAGAGAACGTTTTAACTTGTGATTTCGTTATATTTTGAACTTGTTTTTCTTTTATTCATTTTTTTAATTAATTATTTTTTATTTTAACTTACTCTCCTGTGACAATACTGAAAATTGATTCATGTAAGCAAAACTTTAGTGAGGGAGGTTATCGGCATTTATTCTAAATGAAAATAAAGAAAATAGTCCAAAAAGTAAATATTATATTAAAGTTTAGGCATTAATATTAGTTTGATTGTCCTTGTTTTTGATAGCATTTGCTAATATTTATATAACATTCAATCTTGTATTTTTTTTTTTCCTCACCTTATAAACGTCAAGTCTTGAGGTTTATCTAATTATTAAATTAGTTCTTAGTTTAGAAATCACAAAAAGATAAATTAGTTATCTTGTTTAATACAATTGATCTTATGAGAAAGTCAACAGTGCATATGTAGGTAGAGGATGTAGAGAAATTTAAACTAAAAAAATAGTCTAAATATAAATTTAAATACGTAGATCCATTGTGATTTAGACTCCATGAATTAAATATAAATCAAATCGAAACAAGATTGGTGCAATAATGTATGGTACAGTGAATTGCTAGACAATAGTTTTATGAGCATTTGCAAGTCAAAGGTTCTCATTAAACTCTTTGTGATTTTTTCATGGTATTCTGATGGAATTTATATCATAGGTTTGTGTTGGGAGGACATAATTTACAAATTTTTATATTATACATTCAATTATGTAAGAAATGGTTGGAAAATGGTTTTGAAAAAAATTTATTTTTTCCTATCTTTGAACATTAATTAAGATGAGACCCAAGCGTTATTTTTAACGTTACTAATTGGGTTCATGTTTAATGTCGCGTAATGAATAATATCGTGTATTTGGTTGCTCAAAACTATTTTTGAATGAATAAGAATTCAACGTGCGTTTTCGGATTCGTAAAAATAGCATTAGGTGGTTTCTTACACATTTGTGAAATGTGTTTGTCCCACATTGGAAAAGCTTAAGGATTTGTATGGATTTGATTTATATACTCTAACTTGGGATACTTGGGCTGGCCCCCAAGGAATATCCAAATTTGTGAAAGGGCGAGGTTATGGGTAAAGTGTGTTAAACCCATTGGACCAAAAACAAAAATCATGTGCCACCGTCTATCTGGGTACTGGACTTGGGCGTGGATGATTGGGATGGACCCCAAGGGATACCCAAGTTTGGGGAAGGGTGAGATTATGGGTAAAGTGTGCCTAAACCCATTGGACCCAAAACAAAAATTGCGCGCATCGCCGTCTGTCTGTTCGGGCGAGCTGGGCTTAAGCGTGAGTGTGAGGTTGGGATTGTCCAGCCCAACCTATTCGGAAAAGCCACCTTTTATCCTATATAAAGTTTGCCATCTAGCAATTCATTTCATGAAATTTTTGTCTTTCTTCTTCCCTTTCCATCTTCTTATTTTCTATATTTATTTTTAGAAAGAAAAAGAGAGAGTCACAGCAAAGTTTTGGTTCGCCAGATTTGATTTTGTAGTGCTACAAATCAAGTGCTAGTCGTTACATCTTGGAAAGTAGACGCCGGTAAAATAAAATAAAATAAAATTATTTTAACATTTTATGATTTATATAGTTGTGAGAAAAAAATAAAATAATTATAATTTATATATAACATTTTATTTTATTAATTATTTTAACTTATTTTGTATTTATTAACTATTTTAACCAAAACTCAACTTCCCAAATACCCCAATTCTCTCTCTTTCTTTTTTCTCTCATTCATTTCATTAGGGAGGGATGGTTGAAGTTGAAAGTTGACAGGGAGAAAATTGTTAGTGTCGGATCATTTTGAATTCATGTAAAAATCTTCTTAACGCTAACCTTATCAGTTTAATTAGGGTGGCGTTAATGTCCCGTATAGAAAGTATAGAACCACGCACATTTATTATGCAGTAGCTTAAAATGACACTCTTATACTCCTATTACATCAATTATAATTTAACTATTCATTTTTCATACAATTTTCCTAAACTGTTCTTTTGTGTGACTTTTTGTTTGCCCAACTGTCCAGAATTTTTATCATTCACTTTTCTTTTCATCTCATTTTGACATGACAACATAACCATTTAAACTAAAAAAAATCAAAACTCATCCAATTATTTTGAAGTGTCCAACCTTGGTAAAAAATCATGGTATGAAAAATATATATGGTAATAATATACAAACAAAAGCTTTATATATATATCTGTACCATTTAAAATAAAAAAAAGGTCAAAACTCATCCAATTTTTTTGAAGTGTCCAACCTTAGTATGGTATGAAAAATATATATGGTAATAATATACAAACAGAAGCTTTATATATATATTTTTATACAAAATGAAATGATTTGTTGTTGTTTTCTTTTTAATTAAAACACTCACCATTATTCTCATATGTATGAACTTTTTATTTGTAAATCACTTTCCAAATATATCCTGACAAAGAAAATTTTAAAATTAAAAAAAAAAATCAATGTTAGGAGATTAACAATACTAGCAAGGAAATTTGTACACCAAAAAAGTATTTTAATAAGTGTTTTGAACATAAATTGTATAATATGTATATATTTAAACTTAACATGATGTGAGTCACACTCAAAATAAATTTGGTTCACATATTACATACTCTTGCATTGAGAAAAATTCTCAGACAGTATCAAAGAGCTCTTCACAAGATTGAAATTTCCAACCAATATTTCCAAGTATCTCATTTTGCCCATTTTCTTCCCTTCCCTGACTTTGTATGTTTATTCAATCTTGTTTAATTTGATCACTTAACCTTTCATTGACACACTCAATTGATTGTTCAATATTTATGATTCTTCCTTACAAGATCTACATTATAAAGAAATACACAACCAATTTGTCACATATTCATGTTATAAAATTGATTAAAAATAATTCTATAAATAAATAATTAAAAATCAACTATTTACGATATGTTTGGTTTATTATAATGAAATGAAAAAGATAATGATCATCAATATTCATTCTTATGTTCGGTTAACTAAAAAAAATAGAAAATACATTATTATATAAATGAAATCATCATTCACGGTTGAAAGGAAATAGTCACTTCATAAGGATGCTAAAGAATGATAATTCCATTTCAATCCACCTTCCTTTTATTTAACCAAACACTACCTTAGAGTTAAAAGGTAAGCTCAAATTAATGTTTTTTTTTTTAAATAAAAAAAATTCATTTTACTGTTAATCATCTCATGAACCCAACAAATAAAAAAAATCGTAAATCATGTAAGCCTAAAAATTATATAGTTCATTAGTATATCTTCATAGAAAATTCTAAAACTCACATAAAATAAATAATAATAATAAACTAAATCAATTCTAAATATTTAAATACAAATAGATAGTAGAGTATATATACCTGAGAGGTGAGAAAGAGACCAATTTTTTTGAGTCAGAAAATGATTGTCAAGTCAAATTGGGATGAAAGGAAAAGTGAATGACTAATAGAAATTTTGGATAGTTAGGCAAACAAAAAGTCACACAAATGGACAGTTTAGGAAAATTGTGTGAAGAATGAATAGCCAAATTATAACTGATGTCATATGAGGATAAGAGTATCATTTCAAACTACTGCACAATAAACGTGCGTGACTCCATACTTTCCATGCGTAGCATTAGCGCCACCCATTTAATTATTTGTATTACCTTAAGGTTGTTTTGACAACCTTTCAAAATAGTCACACAAAAAATTCAAAAATTCAAAAAATTAATAACTAAAATAACTAGGTACCAACTCAATCTATTTATCAATTAACTAGGGCCTGTACGATATAATTAACATGCATGACTCATTTGTTAGGTATAAAACCTTTTTTGAATCCATTAACAAGAACAAACATATTTGGGCTAACAATTTTAATCCTTGTAAAATTGGGCTGGCCCAGTCTCAGAAAAAGGGGTCTTGTGAGAGGATAATCCATGTATGAGAGGATAACAGAGGACACGGTTGAGAGAGAGAGAGAGAGAGAGAGAGAGAGAAAATGGCGGGGATTCAAGTAGGGGCTTGCTCATCGGCACCATTGTCCCCTTCACTAGGACCTTCTCTCTCATTGTCTTCTTCTTCTTCTTCTTCTTCTCGTCTCCATCTTCCTGTGTCTCCTGATTATAGCGCTTCTCGAAGACTCGCTCTCTTTCACCTCACCACTGGTACATATTCAATCCCTAATTTTTCCTTTCACTCTGTACATTATTATTATTGTTATTATACAGTGTGCTTATTATGTCTATGCATATATACATACAACACAACACAACGCAACGAATCTTTGTGCGATATTGAGATTGGATAATATGGAAAATGAAAAATTGGAGTGATCTAATTTGGCTGTTTTTAGTTTGGAAACAAATTAAAAACTTGAATTTAGCCAAATCAACCGCTTAGTTTTATATATTAAGCTTTCAAATGTGGCATAAATTCATGTACGGGCGAGCCTATTGACTTGTTTATTTGGAGTCCAATACCAATTTAGTAGAGTGGCACGTGGCTATTTATTTGTCTTACCATTGAGTGGTCAGCATTAAAACACTCTACATTAAATAAATAACTTTCTTTTTCACCCTAGATGAACCCATTTTTCAGTCACTCCTGTTGTTTTTGGCTAAGCAGAAACTTGACATAGATAGATAGATATATAGATAGATGCCGACAAGACAAGCGATTTGTTAAGAAACAGAAACAGAAACAGACTATCCTTGGTGTTGGTTGGTAGGTTGATTTTGTTTTGATGACTTCTTTGATCTCTCATTTGTTTCAAACAAATTTCTGGCCCTTTCTCTATTAGGAGATCCAACACTTTAATGACTTGTCAAATCAAATCATATTGGTAAACCAAGATTTGGCCTATCATGAATACTTAGATGCTTCTCAAATTTTAGCTTCATGATTGTGAGTTGTTTCTCCACATATATAAATTTTTGAAGGATGAAAAGATGAGGAAAAGAAAATCACAGATTTGGGTTTGTATTTTAAAAAAAGAAAAAGAAAAAGAAAAAGAAAGATTCAGTGAAATTTCAAAAAGTTAATGGACTGAGGTTTTGCTGCCAGCCATAAAAAAAATTGAGGTTGAAACCTGAAAGGATGCATTTAGACTCAAAATTAGATCTTTTTAATATGTTAAAATCCTATCCAATGGATGGATTGAGCCGCCACGTGTTGCACTATTAGATAAGATTGGAGGATCCTCTTATTCAAGTAGAGTTGGAGAGGAGCCGGACTCATTTATTTGTCTTTCCCCCCCTTAATTTAGAAATCTTTGTCAAGAGTGTTTGTTGTAGTTATTGGGCAGAAATATCTTAAATAAGCTTAAAAAAGTGATTATATTCTGCTGGAGAGGGTACTTTTAGCTTTTGTTATTTTACTAGGAATTTTCAGTTTTAAAAAATTTACACCAAACATGCCTTAAAAATGTGTATATACTTATGCATAATAGAGTCCGGGCCTTGACTTAATGGTGAGGTTGCTCTATTGTAACTTGAGGGTCACTTGTTCAAACTACAGAAACAGACTCCTTGCATATGGAGCCAAGGTCGCGTACATGTGGCTCTCCCTGACCTTTTATAATTTACGCATAATACATACATGTACACTTTTATATAGAAACACACATGCACTGAGAGACCAAAGTATTGGTGTTGGGAAATGTGGGAGAGGAAATGAAATCATAAAAGTTTGGATTAGGGCCCCAAGGGAGACAGAATGTTCAGTCAAATGAGCTTAATGGAACCATGTAAATTAACTTAGTTGGTTTTCACTTTCCTTTCGTGAAGTCGATTTTTTCTTCTTCTTCTTTTTTTTTTCTTTTCTCTCGACTTAGGGTTTTGTTCTCTACTTCTTCACTCAAACAAAGCCACTCTTTAGTAATATTTCACAGAAAATTAATCTTTTTGGTCCCAGTATTTACTTGGGGGAACCTTGGTCAGCCCTAATTTTATACAATTTGTTGATTAAGCAAACTTGAAGAGAGCCATGAATGGGAAACCTAATTGTTAATGCTATAGTGTGGTATCATTCCAAAGTCATGTGCCTCCAATTTTTACCAGCAGCGTGTTTTTCTGGTTAAATCTGAATGTCAAGGGGATTGCCAATGGGAAGGTTCCTACTACTCTATTGCTTATCTCTTTTCTTCCTCGGAAATGGTGCTTTGTTGCTGCTCCTATTTTTTAGAGGTGTGTTGCTTTCAATAGCTTTGACACTAGTTCCTTTTTTTGGCCTTTTAACTTTCGAATTAAAAATTTTTTAGAGCCAAAGATTCACTTTAAAAAGAATCCAATCTTCTCCAAATGTTTTTACTACTATAGTTTTCTTTTCTTTTTAATTGGTGATCCAGCTATCCCTCTGTCACCGTTATTTGATGTAAAAGCTTCTACATTGCTAAGATCCGAGGGGACCATTATAGAGGCCAGTACAGCAGCAAATATGGCACAACCAAGTACATTTGTCACGGAGGAGAATGCATTCAAGTGGGTCAAAAATGACAAGAGAAGAATGCTTCATGTTGTTTATCGTGTTGGGGATTTGGATAAGACAATAAAGTACGTATATTTTGATAGAGTGTATACTGCTTCACTGGGTTGCTGTTTCACAATCCCCCTGAAACATAAATCATAGTTCATACTGGGTGCTGATATAATTATGGTGATTACAGATTTTATACTGAGTGCTTGGGTATGAAGCTGTTGAGAAAACGTGACATACCGGAGGAGAGATATTCAAATGCTTTTCTTGGATATGGACCTGAAGATTCCCATTTTACTGTTGAACTTACTTACAGTAAGCCATCTAATTAGTCAACGTCTTTGCCATACATGCTGGAAGTTTGAATGGTCAAATTCACTTCTTTTAAATGCCCATGTGTGCCCAGTCTCTTAATGAAATCTATAACACACTCCATAATATGCTGATTTCTTATTGGTTTTTGGGATTTAATAACACATGCAGATTATGGAGTGGACAAGTATGACATTGGAACTGGTTTTGGACATTTTGGTATTGCAGTCGAAGATGTAAGTTCATTGTAGTTGAAAGGAGATTAGCTTTCTTTGGTCATAATCACATCAAGTCTTTACTGCATGGCATGTTCCATTCTCATACTTGCAATCTAAAGCAATCTAAAAAGGATAAGTTTTCCAAAGCCGTCAGCTGGACAGGCCGTGTAATGCTGCAGGTGGGGTTTCCAACTTATCAGTGTAACTAACAAAAGTGGCGTCTCTTGTTTCCACCACCAACATGTTCTTTTTGTAATAGGATTTTCATATTTGAAATTTAATTATGTTTCAGTGATCTCCTGTGCTCTTACACCTTTTGGAGTGTACGTTAGTTATCTGCCTGCATTGATAATGTATGCTTTAGACACTGAGTTTTACATATTTTCACTGTCTACGTACTTGTATACTTGTTTAGGTTGCGAAAACAGTGGATCTTGTAAAAGCAAAGGGGGGCAAAGTTACAAGGGACCCTGGTCCTGTTAAAGGTGGCAATACTGTTATTGCCTTCGTTAAAGATCCAGATGGTTATACCTTTGAGCTTTTGGAGAGGGGGCCTACACCGGAGCCTCTATGTCAAGTAATGCTGCGAGTGGGAGACCTTGACCGTGCAATAAATTTCTATAAGAAGGTTTGTAGTTGTTTTCTCTGTAATTAAACTACTGAAATTTAAACAGTTTTTACTGAATGTTTTGCTTTCATATACATCAATTGGTTGAAGTTCTGAATCTTTATCTTACTTGAATTAAAGGCCTATGGCATGGTGCTTCTTAGGAAAAGAGATAACCCAGAATACAAGGTGAGTTCTTACTAATACATCGGTCACTAATTACTCTGTTTTGGGGGTAACCATCCTCAATGTGAGCAGTTTTGCTATGACAAACTTTTTATGCTTTTAATTTTTCCTCTTTTTTTTTAATTGTTTATATAGAATTGCCCTGTATGCTTTGCACATATTCCTCGGGTTTATGTTTGGCTTTGCTTATGTTCCAGTATACAATAGCCATGATGGGCTATGGTCCTGAAGATAAAAATGCAGTGGTGGAATTGACATATAACTATGGGGTCAAAGAATATGACAAAGGAAATGCTTATGCACAGGTGAACTTTCTACCCTTATCCTAATCATTATTCACAGTTAAGAGGTTGAGAAGCATTTGCAAAAATTCACATCAACCATTCATATGATTGTGAAATTTCTTTTGATACTTTTTCAGGCTTACTCTATGTCATTAGTCTAACAATGCTGGTTCATTGTATTGTTCTAGATTGCAATAGGCACCAATGATGTCTACAAGACTGCTGAAGCAATTCAACTGTGTGGAGGGAAAATTATCCTGGAACCTGGGCCTTTGCCAGGCATCAACACCAAGATTACAGCCTGCTTGGACCCTGATGGTTGGAAATCGGTAAGGTTTTGAACCGCTAATTCTGAGCTTCGTGACTATTTTTATGATCTCATCTCTCACACACATTCTCACAAGCCAAGAGAATTCACTTTTTATTTTGAATATTTTTATTTATTTATTTTTACTGTCATTTGTTTTCCATGTAAATTATTAAATGCAGGAAATCTTACCATTTTTGAATATTTTTATTTATTTATTTTTACTGTCATTTGTTTTCCATGTAAATTATTAAATGCAGGAAATCTTACCATTTATTTCAAGATTTTAAGATAAGCATCTTACTATCTTTACTTTCACGAGGTTAGAAACCTACTTATTGTCCACTTGACATGTTTGTTGAAAAATAACCAACAAACACTTCAATCTTTTTTCTCAATAAACTTAATTGGATGAGTTTGCAAAGCAAGTTTACCACTGTTATATCTCTATATAGGCTGTTGATCCCCCCCCAAAAAAAAAAAAATAAATAAATAAATATCTCTATATGAGCTAATGCTTCTAAGGTTTAACTTTTAATTTTGTGCTTGGACATTTTTTCGGATGAGGTTATTTGCACTTAGGCCTTGTTTGGGAACAGGCTAATTTAGTAACTTTTTGGCTATTTGGCTAAAAAGATATGTAAAAAAAACTTGTATGTTTGGGATGACTTTTTGGCTAATTACGAAAAGATGTGCAAAAAGTAGAGAGACCCAAAAAAAATAAATAAATAAATAAATAAATATCTCTATATGAGCTAATGCTTCTAAGGTTTAACTTTTAATTTTGTGCTTGGACATTTTTTCAGATGAGGTTATTTGCACTTAGTGTTGTGAGCAGGGAATGGTTTGAGGGCTTTTGTTCAGCTTATGTAGTCAGACTACATTTCCTCATAATTTTAATTTTTTTCTTCTTTCTTTTCTGCAGGTCTTTGTTGATAATGTTGATTTTCTCAAGGAATTAGAGTAACTAAAGTATCATTATAGCTGTCTCACTTTTTGACTGAATTCGTGGAGAAATTCATAACAATTTTGTCTATTGAAATCTCGCCTTCTGTCAGATCAATTTTTTGAAAAGTGTGTTTGATGCCATTCTGTAGATGTAATATAATCACTCTGGAACAGCTGAAATTAGTGGTTTTCTTTTTTCCTTTCACTAATACCAGTTTTTGAAGTATGAGGTACACATTCCATGTTAATTTCGTTTGGAAAGATCAGAATCTAGATTTATGCCAGTTTAGAAGTTGGCTATATCCTTCTTATCTCAAAATCATATAATGTTGGCTCGGCAATTCAACATATACTGGATCCCCTCGGCCCACAATTGTTTGTCAGCTTTATTTCTGCACTCAAATTCAATTATCCTGTCACCAGTTTTTATCCCAAAATAAGCCCTCTGCTCATTGCTGTCCTCCCACTCTCTTCCGGTCCATGCTGGGATGTCACAAAAGACTCCAGAGACTATACCTGCAGGCACAGCATCGCTTGATTCAGATAATGTCAACTACACATGGTAAAATAGATGTCTTGTGACAGTATAGAGGGTTTTTCTTACACTTCTTTTTCTTTGTGAATGTTCCCGCCATGTGCTTGCTTTTCATTTTAGCTACCACCTGTTTTCCATCCCAACTTAATTCAGTATTGACTGTGGGCAGAAAATGATGAATTCATGCATGCACATATACACAATAATTTATCTAGTCTATCTTCTGTGTTTTACCTGCCAATTTGAATTTATGTTGATAGAAACTTGCTTCCAGTGGAGAGCTCCTGCAACAAAACTTGCTGTTAGAATTTACCAATTTACTCCTCCACCTACCATCTCCACTAGCACCCACTTCACCTACCACCTCCACTACACTACACCTACTACCACCTTCTCTTCTATATATAGGAGTTGTAATACATAACACAATATCAATCAATAATATACATCAATTTATTTAACACTTGCTTAACGGTGAGTGCCATGTAATCCTATATAAGTGTTAGCAGGTTATAAATATAAATGCTGGTCTGTTGTGTGATTCTTTATTTCCTAATTACTTTTTTTTTTTCCTTTTGCAGCAAATTACCTTTCCTGGTGCGTTTAAGAAGCTCGCCCCCTTTAGAAACAAAGTTCAATGCTATTGAGACATTTGCTTCTTCAACCTGTTCGTCAGTCAGGGATATACTTGTAGCTCCATACCCCTTTTCCAGCCTTGCCTTCAGTGTGGCAGCCCCTCTCAAGGCTGCATTAGTTATCGGTAAAACTTAAAATTCTATATCAATATTAGGAAATAATTCAGAAATGGATTATTTAGAATTCTTCAATTGATTTGGCCTGCTTTAGGTTGTCTAGAGGTTTTCCATGAAAGAAAATATGGGTATTTAGAGTTGGGAGTGATACCTGTAGCTGCTCCAGCAGTTAGGGCCATGATATCGCCGTTATTCCTTGCATTGATCGCAGAACCAACAACTGCCAAGATCTGGTCATGCTCAGCTCCCATTTCCTCTGCAATCTCAATACAATGCGATGCTACCAGAGCAGCTGCAGATGCCATTGCAGTAGATGTTTTGGAAGGTGCCTTATGTCGGGCAGTTGGCTTTTCAGGGGACGTCACTGACGAGGCTGCAAGAGCTGCCACGGCAGCAGCAACACCAGCCACAGACACAGCTGCGTGAAGTTGAGCATTGTGGGTTCTAAGCTCCTGCTTCTTCCTCTCCTTTTGATCTTTCAGCCATCTTCCCACTTTTCTTCCCCTCATGATGTTCCTGTATAGCTGAAGAACAACAATAAGAGTGTTCAGTGTGATGATGACAATGATTGTGATGGTGGTGAGTTTTAGATGAAAAAGATACCCCATTTTTTAGCAGCTGCTGACTAGTGAGGAAATCTGGGTTGAGAGCTTGATGGAGTAGGAACAATTCCTGCACAGGGTAACTGTTGTTAGTACTAATCAAAGGTATCATAAGTAATTTGATTTTCCTTTATTTTTGATTTTCTCAACAATTCCTAGACCAAAGATTAACTTAAAAAAGTAAATGAATTTTTAAAAGCATGATTAAGTAGATTTGATTCGTTTTTGCACACGTGTGTTCTCAAATGAAATTAATTATGAATCTAGTATGTCTCAACTAGGTCTTTTCAGTGATTTAGCCTGATGATTAGCAGAAGTAATATTTCTAAGAGTTGGATATGTAAACCTTTTAATTAATTTGTTGCAAATTAAGCATGCCATGAGAAAAGTGAAGTCTTGTGTGCAAGCATGTTTAATATTTTTCCAATAGCAGGACATGAATAATGTTTTCGCATTTGCCATTCGGACTTGATCCTACAATTACAACTCTAAGGAAAGGAAGCAGCATCCAAAAGAAAAAAAATTTAATGTAGTAGTTGGAAAAAAAATTTAAATAAAAAATTAAGATGGCTTTATTAGAGTAATTTGAGTATGAAAAATTGTGCGACACAATTGCCTTTGGGACATTATTTCAGGTTGAGATTAAGATAAAAAAATTGTCTCGAAAATAGGTGAAAATATTAAAAATGTATTGATTTTAATAAAAAAAATATATATATATATTGAATTTGGTAAAAAATGTTTCGTAATCTTTAATTTTTTAATATTTTCCTTGTTCTCTAAGACTCTGTTTGGTTGGGAAATTTAAAAAAAAAATTGGAAAGGGAAAGAAAATGTAATCAAAAGACAAAATGTATATGGAAATACCTTAGTGTCATCACTTCCTCTTGGAGATGTTGGAGGGCTATCTGCACTTGGTAAAGGTTGAAGTTGCTGTAATACATACATATGGAAAATTACATGAAGTTCACATTATATGACTTACCCATTCAAGAAAAAAATAAAAATAAAAATATAGACCTTTTATTTGTCTTTCTTTCTTGGACTATATTGAGTTTGACTCTATGAGAAACAAAAATTTTATTACTAAAAAAAAAAAAAAAGAAAAGAAAAGAAGAAGAAGAAGACCAGTTTTAACTACATGTATGTATGATTCAGGGAATAATGAAAAAGACAGCCATGGAATAATCTTACAGGTTCCTTTGGAGCTGTGGAGATTAGGAGGTGTGGTTGATCATCAACAGCACCAACAGAACTCACAGGTGGTGGTGGTGGTGGTGGTGACTTCTCTGCTGGATGATGATGATTAGAGACCAATCGTATACAAGTATGAGAAAGAGCTTTAGAGAGTTCCATGGCTGACAGACTCCATGACCTAGCCAGGAACTCCATCGACTCCGTCGGCGTTTCTGGCGGTGGACATGTCGCCGCCGCAGGAAGCCAGCTCACTTGAACCTCTTCCTCTGCTATGTTTTCAAGCCTATTCATGTTTGTAATTGATTTGATTGGAATCTTGATAATCTTGTTGCCTTTGTGTATATGTTAATCTTTCTTACTTCACTCTTTGTTCACTCTTCTAGTTAGAAAGATGAACAGGAACATGAGATTAATTGCCACCTCTCTCTCTCTCTCTCTCTCTCTCATGCAAGTTGGTAAGCAAGAAGAAGTTGATCATGGTGAAGCAGAGTAAGATGAGTGTGGTATAATTTTACATATGGGTGTGTTGTGTGAGGTACCCTAGCTAGTTTGTTTTTGTGATAGAACTTGAAAGGGAAAGGGGCAGTGGAACTATATATTTATACTAGATTTTGGATTGCATATACAATTAATTGATTTACTATCATTGTTGATGTCACCATCTTTATCTTGCCGCCACTCCCCCCATTTTTACCATCGTGGCCACCACCACCATCATCACTTAAACAATCATTAATATACATTAGTTTTTTAGGTAAGTTAATTGATAAAATTCACTCTCATTAAGTTAGCTTACACACTTAGTTATAAATAAATAAAAATTAAAAAAATTTACTTAACTTTTCTTTTATTTATTTTTTTTTTGTAAAGTTAATACATTTGGTAATATACCAAACATTTTTAATCACAAAACACGATTTTATGTTAAATTAACAGAAGGATTGATATTATATGTTTACCCCATTCCACCAAGGATCCTCTAGAGTGAAATTTTTCTAAAGTTTCCTAGAGTGTTCCATTGTGTGGTTGAGATTTACTGGCAAGTCACATCAGAAAAATTGATATAACTTGCCAATAAATCTCAATCACACAATGGAATACTCTAAAAAACCCATTCTAGTAAAGCAACAATTATGCGAGTCATATGTGGAGTTTTAGCAAAATAAAACAAAATAAAGCATTACATAGCTACATTTTTATGTTTTACATTCCTTTAAAATATAAGATAGGTATGTATCCTAAGCTACTTGAGGGTCTGTTTGGGAAGAATTAAAGTGGATTTTTTTGGCTAGTTTAACTATAAAAGACAAAATAGGCTATTTTAGTCATAAAAAATAAAACATCACATCCAACCCATAATCATTACACTCTTCTCTCACAAAAAAAGTTTAAAAAGCTAAAAAGTCAAAAAATCATTTCCAACTAAACTTTTTAACCCGAACTAAAATAATCAAAAAAATCAAAAAAACTAAAAAACCAACCCACTCCCCAAATGGGAGCTGAAAGGTCCCAATTAAAGTTGAATAAACTTTTGTCGCCAACTCATCAATGTTTGTATTGTTTTGTCTCATCTTTTTGTGCTTTAAAGATTGTTTTTAATGGTGCGGCGGATTTCATGATGACTAGGGTTTCCTTTTGTCACCATTACCATTACCCCACTGTTTAAAGCAAGATAGAGGGCCCTCATGCATTTGTAATGTTATATATTTAAAATAGTATATTCATGAATTAAAATTATTTTAAGTTTGATTTATATTACACTAATTTTGAATTTATAATATTTATTTTATTCTGAAACAAATTTTATGAATCTAATAATAATATAACATAATTTAGAATAAATTATAAATACATCCCTTGAAGTTTACTTAAAATACGAATTGTTTCCTGTGGTTTGAAAAATTACAAATATCTCCCTGTCAGAATTTTTTATTTAATAGGATTAATTGAAAAAGTGAAATTTCTAACTGTTCACCTATATAATAATAAAATTATCTGAATTATTAATTGAAATAAAATTTTAACATTATTAAAAGCTATTAATTAACTTGATGATTTATTAATAAAAGAATCTATTTGTTATGAAATTAGAAATCGTAAGGGCATAATGTAATTTCTGTAATCATAAGAAACAATTTATAATTTAAGTAAATCTCAAGAGATGTTTTTGTAATTTATCCTATAATTTCCTAGTGTGAGATTGTAATCAAAACTATACCCAAGAATTTGTCTAGCGGTGATATATGTATCTAATAAATTTGTAATGTTATATATTTAAAAGGAGTATTTACACAAGTCTTAATTTATGAATTTATATTTTATTAAATTTTAATAAAGATTTTTTTGAAACAGTGAGTGGTTATGGTTATGAACATAATGATTTGATATTTATTTTGATTTTCAAAATTTTAAAACATAATTAAAAAAAAAAAAAAAAAAAAAAAAAGGTAAAAAAAAAAAAAAAAAAAAAAAAAACTAATCAGTGTTTTGATTTTAGTTTTTTGGAAATTAAGTTTTTTGTTTTTAGTAAACATTTTTTAAATTTTAAGCAATTTTTTTACTTTTTAAATGTGCCTTACTTAGATATATCTAAATAGTAAAATATTTGTGAAAAAATATTTTAAAAAATTAATAAATACACAAAAATACAAAAAATATACTAAATTTTCATATATCTTTTTGTATTTTTGGTATTTAGTGAATCTTTTAAAGATTTTTTTACAAATATTATATTTTTTAAGTGTATTTATATTAGGTATGTCTAAAAATTTAAAAAATACTTAAAATATTAAAAAAATCAATAAAAATAAAAAAGAAAAATTTTGTGAAAAGTGAATTCTGAAAAATGAAGCCAAACAGAGTGAGATAACTTTTTTTTTTGAAAAAAAAAATTGAATTATTGTTTTATGCAAAACTAAAAATTTTGTATCTATAAAAGAAAATGATGAAGGAACATTGACATGCAAAACTGAAAAAAAAATTTAAAAAATAAAAAAAGATAATGTTTTCAGTTTTAAAATTCAAAAAAAAAATTTGATAATGTTTTCGATTATATTGAATAGTTGAATCAAACAAATAAGTACAAAGGTAAAAACGTTTAATCTCATACTCTATTTTTTTTATCAGTTAATGAAACAATTATCTAGAATATTACTATATAAAATTGATAATTTTCTTAATTTTAAAAATAAAAAAAATTAATAATATTATCAATTTTACTAATATAACTTATTAATTCAAATTTTTTTGAATATAACCTGAACTATTATAATATTTATGAATAAAACTTTTAAATAATTAATTCTATTTAAAATTGTATAATTATGAATCAAAATTATTTTAAATATGATATGGATTCTACGAATTTTAAATTTGTAACATTTATTTTATTTTTGAAATCTAATAATAATATAATATAATATAATTTACTAGTGCGAATTGTAATCAAAACTATACCCAGGAATCAGTCTAGTGGTGGAGTCTCCTATGACTGACTGCAGCTAACTTCTTTGGTCTACTTTTTTTGTCGTTATTCTCAAACATTTCTGTGAGTTGTCAAGTTTTATGACTTGACTTGACTTGACCCAATCTACTTCTAAAATGGTTCAAATCAAGTAAATAAAGGAACTGTTTGGAAGTGAAATTTTAGCCCAATTTAGATTAAAATTTAATAAATTAAAATAGTTAATAAGGTAAAATGGAATATCAAATTTATAATTATTTTATTTTTTTTACAAATATTATATTCAATTACAAAAAGTTAAATCATTTTTCAAAACATAAAAATTATAGTCTAATAAAATAATTAAAAATTAAAATAACATATTAAAATAGCAATTTCTCAAACACCCACAAAGAAAGAGAATTTTACTCATTTATAAAAGGATAAATTACAAATACACTTCTTGAAGTTTGTTTAAAGTATAGATTGTCTTTTATGATTTGAAAAATTATAAATAACTCCTTATAAATATTTTTTATTTAACAGAATTAACTAAAAAAATAAAATTCATAATTACTCTCCTATACAATAATAAAATTACTTAAATTATTAATTGAAATATATTTCTAACATTGTTAAAAACTGTTAATTAGAATTAAAAACCTCAGTGGTGGAATGTAATTTCTAAAATCATAGGAGACAATTCGTATTTTCATCAAATTTCATGAGGCATATTTGTAATTTACCTTTCATAAAATGGTATATTATGAAGTTGAATGAATTTAAATATATCATGTTACAAGTGTACATGTAAGTAATACTAATGAATAATGGGAAAAAAAATTGTGTACATTTTTTTTTTGTTTTTGTTTTTTGTTACAGGAAAATCCTCCCTACCTTCCCGTAGGTCCAAGACATCACCAGGGTCCTGTTAGCCGTTCCGAGCGAGGAGACTATAACTTGGGAATTTACCCCAACCTCCCAAGACTAGCTCTGCTTAAGTCAGGACTTGCACAGCGGGAGAGTATTAAACCCACACCACATCAAGTGCTGATTAGACAACTTAAGATCCAAGTCCCTACCCTCCCGCTGGTCCAAGACATCACCAGGGTCCTGTTAGCCGTTCCGAACGAGGAGACTATAACCTGAGAATTTACCCCGACCTCTCAAGACAAACTCTGCTTAAGTCAAGACTCGCACAGCGGGAGAGTATTGAACCCACACCACATCAAATACTGATTAGACAACTTAAGATCCAACTTCAACTTAAGATCCAACTTCCTAACCAGCTGTACTTCGCCCAGAAGATTGACTCAGGAGAGAGGGAATTGAACCTATGACCTTAGGATTTAAATCCCAAGTCTTAACCACAATCCCATCCACCTGGGTGGTGTATTGAACATATGTAGTTAGCTTTGCGATAAAAACGGGCAATATATCCACTGGCAGTATAGTAGAAATTAAGAAAATATATAATCAATATGACAGAGAAAAAAATTATTTATATTTTTATAATAATGCAATTTATTATGTATATGTTGTAGATTCTCTATGTGCATGATGTAAATTTTTTCTGTGTGTCAAAATTACATCATAAAAAATTTCATCTCTAATGTAATAATTTTTTACTGTTACACTTATTTACAATTCCTCCTAAAAATTAAGTCCAAAACTAGACACTCTAGTTGATCACATCTGGGCATGAAAAAATATGCAAATATGCCATGCTTTCCCAAACTAATTCATAAATTTTAGCCTCCGTTTGGGAAGTGGGTTGGCTTTTTGGCTTTTTGGTTTTTTTGGCTATTTTAACCTGGGCTAAAAAACTTGATTTGGGAAGGACTTTTTGACTTTTTGGCTTTTTTGACTTTTTTTGTGAGAGAATAATGTAATGATTATAGGTTGGATGTGATGTTTTGTTTGTTATAGTTAAAATAGCCTATTTTATTTTTTGTGACTAAAATAATTAAAAAAACGTGAAAAAACCCTTGACAAACACAGGCTTACCAATAATGAGTGACTGCAATTGGTTTTAAAAAGGTAATTTTTTTATTAGTAGCTCACCTAGGCAATGAACTATCTCTCACGCTCTCTCTCGCGCGCGCGAGCGCATGTACTAAAAGTGGAAACTTACGC